AGCCCCATTTTCAAGCCCTTTCTGAAACCTGCACTTCAAGTGAGCCCCAAAGTGGGGGCTTGGGTAGAACTTGAAGGGGCTGCAGTAGGCACAGCTTGAGCCCAGGGAGCCTCCACAGGAAATGGAGAGCAGCCACATGCCCTCAGCGGACTTTACTCTGACTCACTTGGCAGTGGAGAACTGGTAAGGAAGCAGCTCCTGCCCCCAGCCCCCACATCCCAGCTGCACACTGGCTGGGCTACTTTACTCCCAGGCTCACTGTTCTCACCTGGAGAAGGAATAGCAACACAGACTCCAAATGGGACAAGTGGGTCTCAACGACTCGATGAAGCCCAACCCGGTTCAGGGCATCTGGCAGGGCCAAGAGCACATCGTTTTCAACACCATCTCACTCCTGACCATGGAGCCCAGAGGTCTGCAGACAGCTGTACAAGATCCAACGAGTCTACTCCTCAGCCTGCTCAGAGCCTCTCAAAATGGTACGACTACCTCCTAGGGCACACCAGAGTCATGCTTCTAGAACATACTTCGTACAGCTCCTACCCTGTGACTCAGCCTATGCAAATGAGCACATTAGCGTTCATTGCCCTGCAAGCATGCCCCTTTGTTTACCACCGCACTCAGCATCTGCAAATGGACAAATGGGAAGAAGGAAAAGGAGAAAAGGAGAGAACCACAAGTCCATCCTTCAACCCAGTGGCACAGGAGGGAGGGTGCAAGGCTTACAACCTCGGGCTTTGCCCAGTGCCTCTTGGCTAAACCGAGATCCAAGGACAGAGGTGGCCTCCTACTCCAGGCCAGACCTGGGCAAATAATGGAGACAGGGATGCTGTGGAAGGTCAGAGTCCAGCAAAGCAAGGCACGATCCTTTCACCCCAAATGCCACTGCAGTTACACTTATTTTTAAACCCTCTCCACTCCTGGCCTCGTAGCTTGTGCTGGAGAGACATCTTGAACAGCTCGGCAGTGATGAGGACTGTGGTGTCTAGAAGGCTCTTGGCAATCTGCCACAGCAACTTAGGATAGAAGGTTCTGGGTTGTACGTGTCAGTAACCCCTTTTGAGACAAAAGGCCTCAATGTGGGCTCAAGTGGGCCCTGCCAGAGACAAGGCAGCCCACTGCGACCCTGGGCAAAACAATTGCTTTCTGGGAGACCATGAATTTCTCATTTCAGCAGAAACTATATTTAACAACATTTGGAGTAAGAACGGCAGTGGGTGGGGGAGAAACAGGGACCACACTTGTGCTGAGCCTCCACATGGGGGTCTGTGCTGTGACCCACTTCACTCTCTCTCCAGCTGTCCCTCCCAGGGGCATGGCAGCTTCCAAGGGATGAGTTACTCTGCAAAGAAATGTTTTAATAACATGTTAAATGACAGCCTAGCAAATCACTGAAGCCATGTGATGTGCTGCCCGGTTCCTCAGAGAACTCGTGAAGTCAGGCCTCCCTTCTTCAGTGACACCAACTTCTCCCCAGGGACCTGAGTAAACCTCCATGGCAGATCGCATTCCTTGGAATGCATCTTTCTCAAAAGTGCTGGGAGACTGGAGCAACAGCTAGGGAGCCTGCATGGGACTGACCTAGGCCCTCTGCATGTGGGTGACAGTCATATAGCTTGGTCTGTTTGTAGGTCCCCTAGCAGAGGGATCAGGACCTGTCCCTGGCGCATGAGCCAGCTTTTTGGAACCTATTCCCCATGCTGGATGCCTTGCCCAGCCTTGATGCAGGAGGAGGAGCTTGGTCCTGATACACCATGCTGTGTTGACTCCCATGGGAGGCCTGCCCCTTTCTGAATGGAGAAGGAGTGGATGGGGGGAGGGGTAGGTGAAGGGGGGAGGGAGAAGAGAAGAGGAAGGGGAAATTGTGGTTGGTATGTAAAATAAATGAAAAAATTTAGTAAAAAAGAAAAAAGTGCTGGGAGAACATAGCCAATGTGGGGCTCCTCAGAGTGGACAGCAAGGGCTGCCATCTTTCTGCTCCCTATCTGGTGTGTGCAGGGGAGTCTGCCCCCCTCCCCATGTGCCACACTGGTACAGAGTCCGAAATGAAGAAGAAATGTCCACTTTCCATTGTCCCACTTTGTGCCTCAGAGCTGCTTCAGGCATTTTCCAGGAAGGGAACAGAGTCCAAAAGCAGGGGAAGGTCCATTCAACTTGCTGATTCTCCACTCTCAGATCTGTGGGGATGCCGGGATGCTTAAAAACCATGCTCTCACTGCCAAACGTAAGGGACATCGACAACTGCAGAGTGTGTGGCATCAGGCCCTGTCCAACACCAGATCCAATACTGTGTAACCTGAGGACTTAAAGGCATATTCTGGAGGGAATTCACCAGCCAGTTCTTCTCAGGGGCTCTGATCTGCCCTGTTGCCTGTCCTATCTCCAGGCAGGGTCCGGTACTAGAATAGGAAGTAAACACAGAGACTGGCTCACAGAACAGACATAAGCAAATGCAGAATGGGTGACAGAAGTATGGTGACATTATCTCAAGTCCATCACCTATGCAGAAGGGTTCTGGGAAGAGCGGCCAGGATCCAGGGCCACACCTTTGAATCTGCAGAACTAGGCAGGTCCCGTGAGTGTGTTACACAGTGAGTGAGCATGTGATACCATGAGCAGGTGAGAAACAAACCAGCCAGAAAATGATGTGTGTGGCAGGGAGGCTGGGTTAGCATTAGGGGACAACAGGATCTGGGGGTTCAGAGTCACCAACAGCTAAAGCTGAGTGTTGTATGGTGGCAAACAGGGCGAGATCAAGCTTATGTTCAAGAGAAACCTGGAATTTCAATGTTTTAATCCGATGACATTCAGTTGTTTTATAGTGGCAACTACTTCACTTAAAAACAAATGAGAAAACACCATTGTCTGGTCACATCAGAAACAGAGGAATGTCTGTCCACAGGATGTAAATTTCCCAACTGAATCCCCAAACCTAGGTGAGGGTACCATTCTGCCCAGGCTCCCCAAGTGCTGGGAGGGGCCCTGAGATCACTTATGCCTCCTCTCTGGCTGCACTTTGCTTTTCCATGTTATAAAACAGTCTACATATGTAATCACATGGCTATAATCTAACTGGTAGGAAACCTTGTGGGCTCGGTATTTTAATGGCACCTCATACAATTCCCCCAGTAGAAGGAGCACAGCACCCATCCATTGAGAGCCTAGGAGAGAGTGAGATGAGACAGGTATAGCCTGAGGCTGGCCCATATAACTGTGACTCTGTCTTAGGAAATGCATCCCTGGACATTCACTCACGAGACAGGACCTTTCAGATCAGTGTCTGAAAGAACCAAGGGACAGCTGCAGAGATTTATTAACAATAATGCTTTGAGGGTTTATTTCTTAAATTGAGAAATGTATGGGTGTATGCATGTGTGTGTGCATATATATTTGTATGTGTCTGTGCATTTGTGGGTGTTTGTGTGTGTGTGTATATGTGTGTGTGCATATTTGTCTATCTGTGTATGTATATATGTGTATACTTGTCTATATCTCTGTGTATGTATATGTGTGTATACTTGTCTGTGTATCTGTGTCTCTAACTGGAACTCTCTAGCTAGGGATGCTGGTCTCATATGAGCAGCACAGACAGAAAACATCATGGGGACCTTTGCTAGTATGGGCAAGACTTGGCTGCAGATCACCTCTCTGAACACAAAATGAGAACACCTGCAGCTTTCACCCTGCAATCTCACCTTGCCCACAAAAGACAAGAGATGTGGCTTAGTTTGCAATGTCAAGGAGAGCCAAAGAAACATGGCTATTTAGTGCTGCCCAGAGTCTAGCCTGGTGTTTGGTCAAACTTCTACTTCCCAATCTCCTGCGAAAATTCCCTTTGTTCTTTAAGCTCACAAAAGTGGACCCTGTGCTCCATGTGCTCATCAGGAATAGACAATTTCCCTCTCAGCACCGAGGAACACAAACAGCTGAGCCTGCATCCCATGCTGCACACAACACTCCAGCTGTCACAATCAGCAGCCTCACAGGCCAGCATGTGGGAATCAGCGTGGGACTGGGGTGGCTGGCCTTCTGGAGCCAGCTGGGACCCTGGTATCCTTCAAGGGCCATCCTCTCAGCTTCCTGCCATCAGTCCTCTTGGGGCTTGCCTGATAACTCTTTTTACAACTGAAAATAAAGCCCAAATTCCTGGGACTCATAGGGAATGGTTAATTCCCAACACACACCTGGGCTGGAGCTGTCTGTGAGAGATGAGCTAGTGTTCTTCATGATGTGATGTGGCCTTCCCGAAGTATGGACACCCAGGCCCTGGTACTACTAATAAATGGATAGTGGGAAAACATGGTGTCCCAACTCATGTCTTTTAAACAGGGAAAAGGCATCTTTCAACACACAGCACATTAGACTTCTGTCTTTTCACAAAACCTTGAGACAACCAGAATCCATGAGCAACCCTCTCAGCCACAACAAAAGGACCTCTGCAGGGCAGAAAGTAGCCCTGTGTCTGTCTGGTCAGAAGCTCAACCTGGAAATTCTGGCACATCCCACAGACAGAGTGGAAATCAGCCTGTTTCTGTTGTAGCATCACTGTGGGAGTGAACATCCCCAGATGTCTTTCTGCAGACTGTTTTAAAGAGCCCCAGTGGAAGGAAACTAATTTTGTCCCAGCAAATTATACAGACTCAGACAAGGACTTCTCAAATGAGATTCTCAAACCTACCTGTGGGGACCCAAGGGCTTTTTCCTATGGCTTTTTACATCTGGGACTTCCATGAGAGACTATTACAAATAATATAATTACCTTCAACAGTACCTGGAGATCATGAAAATCATAGGGCTTCATGATCTTGGTCGCCTTAACTGCAAGGACATAAACACCCCAGGCAAGGCTGACACTTGGAGCAGAGGGACTGGTCACTGACAAGGCACCACCTCAAGCACTGCCCAAACACACCTGGCCTAACAGTAGCCCTGAGAAGTGAGTGCAAGGGAAGCAGAGCTCGGGTGGTGTCCAAGAGCATTCCCCCATGACAGGTACTCACACAAAGAAGGGCACCAGCTGCACCAGGGTCTCCTTCTTGGGGTTGGCAGCAAACTCAGGAACCATCTGGATGACCTTGTTCATGACGCTGCGGAGGTAACTCTGGAGCTGCTTTCGTCGCTCCTCCACGAACTTGGCATCCTAGGAACACAGATGAATGTGTGCACTCAGCATGCTTGTGTCATAAGCATCCTAGGAACACAGATGAATGTGTGCACTCAGCATGCTTGTGTCATAAGCATCCTAGGAACACAGACGAATGTGTGCACTCAGCATGCTTGTGTCATAAGCATGCTAGGAACATAGATGAATGTGTGCACTCAGTATGCTTGTGTCATAAACTCAGAGGGGATCTTGTCCAACATGTACTCATCAGGCAACAACTGCCAGAGGGGCTGGAGTACAGCTCAGTGGTGGAGCACTTGCAAGGCACTGGGTTCCATCACTGCTGTGCACAACTGGTCTCCATGGCTTTGCATGTGCTGTGGAAAAGATACCTGGGATGATATTTTTAATAAGCATCATGTCCAATACCTGTGTATAGTGTGGTCCCACAAACGAGTGAGTGAATCACTAGGTGTGGGTATTACTTCTTGGTGCCACAATATCCTAAGTGTGGCACCATAGACCGAGGACAGAGCAGTGACACAATCATTGTAGAGGCTCTGTTGGAGTTCACAGGCCACTGGAGGTGGCACAATGACCACACAGGTATGCATAACCATTGGTCACACTGCCATCCTCTGGAGTACATGCTTAATTTGTCTTCACACGTTTTCAAGATATGAATCTGTCGCTGATCACAAAAGGTTCTATGAACAAAAAAATTTACCATCTCCTCAAAATGTGGCTAAAGCTGTGTGGCACAGCCGGAGGCAGGCACAGCGTCCCAGTCAGACAGTCGCCCCCCTGGGTGTGCACTCCGGCTCCGCACTCCTCGGCCACTCCTCCCTCCTGCGTCTGTCTGGCCCTGGCAGGCAGGACTACAGCACGGAGAGCAGCTGCACCACTGCAGACCCTGCGCTTGGACCTGTGTGACATCTGATGCCTCACCTTTATATTCTCCGGGTACTCTGAGAGACATGGTGTGTGCGTGAGCATCCTTGATGGCCCTCTGTGCAGGCCTGAGTTTAAATTTTTACTACCTTTTCAAATTTGTGTGTGCATGTACACATGGGTATGCCACAGTGTGTGTGTGGCAGGAATTGATTTTCTCCTTCTGTCATATGGTCCAACTCAGGACATCAGGCTGATGACACTCAGTTGTGTTACTGCAGTTTTTCTGAGACTATAGTTTTACAGAGCCCTGTGTGTTCTCTGGCTAGTCTCCTTCAGGAACCGTGTGGGAGGAAGAGCCAGGGAGAATCTGCTGGCAGGGCTTCCCCTGGCCTCTTGTCCAAAGCCATGCCATAAGTTGCCCCAGTGCAATTCCAGTTACAACCAGCACTGCCCCAGGCCAGTGGCCAAAACCTCCACAGCCTGGCAGGGTCAAGCTGGAACCACTTGGCCTGTGCCCACCGAGTCTGGATGCTGGATTCTGATCCTTGGTCCCCACACATTAACAAATCATTAAGTGATTAGATGTTCATTCCTGAGGGGGTGGATGGGCCAGGTGGACCTACCCAGGCCTGCATTTTAATTTGCATAAAAAACCTCAAAGGCCAGCTTGAAAGGCTCTACAGCAAGAGGATGAGAAAGGTGTTGTCAACCCTGAAGGGGCTGTGGAGGGTTCCGGGTTTGGACAGGAGGTCAAAGATGGTCCTTTGTGGTGCTATGCTGAGCCACAGAGCCGAAGGATGCTGCAGGCCGCAGGAATATATCATAAGAACTCAGCTGTTTATGGCAAAGTCACTACCTGGAGGGATGAGGGAATTCCTCCAGAGGAAGCCAAATCCCAAGGAGTTTTTGGTGTTACTTGGCTTGTTATATCTCAGCCGTATTCTGTTATGAAAATCATGTGTGCCTTCATAGTTTTTCCAATTGACTTCCCCCTAAGAAGGACTAACAGTGTAGACTCATCATTCTCTGGACATATACATTCCAGGTATTTGGAGAACAGCCTCGGGAAAGGCTTTCTCTGGGATCAGATTATCTCCCTTAGCCACTTTCAAGGACTACAGGAAACACCACCCAGGTGGGTGCCTAACTTCCGAGGACTAACAATGATAACAGCCCACATGCAAGTCTCCTGACTTACGGTAAATTCCACAAGGAGACACTGCCTAGGAGAGGTGGACATTAAGTAATAGCTTTACACAATTTAGCTCAGACCCTCCCTTTATATACTGGGACTTTCAGGGCACAAGACAGAGAAGGGAAAAGAGAATGGAAGAACTAGATGGGTAAGAACTTGAGAGGAACAAACTGAAATGGGGAAGAACTATATTGAAGGGCTAGAAGACAGTACTAGAGGAACGAGATGGAAGATGAGGAAGAGCCAGATGAGGAAGAGCCAGATGAGGAAGAGCCAGATGAGAGAGAAGGAGATGGGAGAGGAGCTGAAAGGGGAAAGAACTAGATAGATGCGAACCTAGAAGGAACAGAACTAGATGAAGGAATTAAGATAGAACCTAGAGGGGACAGTAGATAAATATAGAGAGAAATCAGGCAAGAAAGGAGCTGGACATGAGAGCAGAACAGAAGCTGTGCAGAGAGAACTATCACAGAATAATAAAGTGTATGAACTAAGGAGTTTCGTGTACATAGATTCATTTCTTTTCATCAAAGATTAATTATCAGCTGGTTGTAGACCTGGGAGGGGACTATCAAGGGGCTGGACCCCCATAGTCACCGATAGAAGGAAGGCAAGTACCCCAAGAGGAGGCCAAAGGACACGCCCCCAGCAGTCTAGCCAGCCCATGTGTCACCTGAATAATGTCTCCTTTCATCCAGGTCCCACAAGCTGTGACATGACAGATAGGGGGGTCTCACCTGGAAGAACCCCCAATTCTTTCCTAGCACCCACTCATATTGAGAGCCAATACCTGGGAACCTACTCTGTCTTCATTAAAGAAACTCCAACTGAGTAGCAACCATTGTCTAAGTGCTTGAGTGCGTGAGTGCGTGCATACATGCGTGGGGTGCGCGCGTGCACGTGTGTATTTACATGTATATAGAGACCAGGGGAAAACCTTGGGTGCCATTCCTCCAGAGGTACCATCCACCTTATTTTTGAGACAGAATTTCTTACCTAGAGCTCCCTAAGTAGGCTGGTTAGCTGGCCAGTGCCTCCCAGTGAGCAGAGCATGCACTATCATGCCCATTTTTTTTGTTTGTTGTTATTTTAAGGAAGTGAGCCAAGCTAAGGTTCCCCCCCCCCCTTTTATTTGGTGTTTTAATGTTTTAATTGAACTCAGACCTCAAGCTTGCACGATAAATGTTTTTCAGAATGCACTAACTCCCCAGTGAGCAAGTCTTCACTGTGCCGCAGGCCCCCAGGAGCTGCATCCTTATGTCACAACCATGGCTGGTGACAGGTCTAGATGGGAAGAACCAGCCCAAGGCCCTAAACTCAATGGCAGCCGAACAGAGACGCAGGTCTTCAAGGAGCAACTTCAGACCCTTAACTCAACCCAACCTCCAACCTTCAGAAGTAGACTCTCCTGGCCATCTCTCCCTGTAGTTTTTACTTTATTATGGAAAAATGGCAAGTTCTCAATAACTCTTCATCTAATGAAACTGAACCGTCTCCCACAGTTGCTTCGTCACGTTGGCCTTTTCACCAGGTGGTGTGTGATGCTACGGGATTAAAGCCAGGGCCTCGTGCATGCTAGGGAAGTGCTCCACCTCTGAGCTGCATCCCTGGCCTACACTAACAGAGCTGTAGCTGGGTGTGGCAGTGCACTCCTGCAATCCCAACACTTGGGAGGTGGAAGCACAAGGATCAGGAGTTCAAGGCTAACCTTGGCTATGAAGCAAGTTTGAGGAGTGCCTGTGCTACATGAGACTCTATGTCAAAAACAGGACAATAAAATAAAATAAATAGTAAACAGTTATACCCACTTGATACTTCATTCTTAAATACTTCATATATAAATCTAGAAAATTAGGACATGTTTCTATTTAACCAAACACCATTACTACCTCCAACAAAGAGAATACTCATGGGTTGGTGTTACCAAACAGCGTTATCTGTAGTGCTGAAGTCTGTATTCTCAAAAGAGCCTACTGCTTCTGGGGCTTTCTTGTTTCTGATTTTGTCTTGAAACAGGTTCACACTTGTATCCCAGGCTGGCCTTGAGTTTGTGACCCTCTGCCAGGGTGACAGGTGTGCACCACCATACCTGACTGCTCTTGCAATGTGGATCGAGGGGTCAAGACCAGACATCAGCCGGAACTGTCCAGCAGGCTGAAGGGGGCAGTGTGGGTGGGTGGTCAGACCTAACAACAGAGTCCGTGGACAAGGCTTGACCCACAGGCATGTCTTACATGGACTGAACAGTGTTGGAAAAGATTAAAGCAGATTTCTTAAAAACAGATCCCTGGCTTCTCTTTCAAACCCAGCAGCCCCACTGTCTTGCCTTCACACCTGCTGGCCTTCATTGGGGTTTCCCCCTCACATCCCACTACATATTTCACACAGGTTGAGCCTCATCTGTCTAGTTCATCCTTCATCACAAATCCTCACACAGTGCCCAAGGATACAAGGGCCTTGGAAAAAACACACCAGTTGAAATAACAAATAAATGTAGGGAATATATCAGGAAGGCAAGACTGGTGGCCAGAGAGAGCTTCATGGAGGTCAAGGTTCACAAGAAAACACACAGATCCCGAGAATGGTGGGGTGGAGAACGCCAGGTTGGTCTGGAAACAAGCCCTTGGTTCTAAGGGCTGCTGGACAAGAGGATAGAGGACAAAAGACCAGCATGTCAGTGAGTGGGTCCTTCAGGGTACCTGGGGTGGCATCACAGGCACATAAAGCCAGCCCTTAAAGGTCAAAGAAACTGGTGAGTTCTGATTGGGCTCCTGGGGTGGCAGCCAACTTGCAGATTAAAAGTGATGAGGCTGGATGTGCCACCACCGCCGGACTTCTGCTAAATGGCTTGCTTTTAGTTCTGATCCCCAGGCAACTTTATTTATTAACATACAAATAGAATCACATTTCAGCACAAATAAAATATCATCATATATATGCTTGGGGT